ATCTGCTGGGCAGAGCTCCAAGCTTTCTTTCTATCCTTGAATAAAAAATAAATTAACAATCTCTGTGTTGACCCTAATACTCCGTTGTAGGTTCTTATAGTTTTTTTTACCACAAACCTTAAAAAGTCTTTCTATTCACTTCCAGCCGCTACGAACAGCTGCAGGAAATCCCCCACAGGTAGGCCGCACTCCCAGCGGTATGCTGGAGGTCTGGAGCTCCCAACAAGAACGGCAAATTATAGCGGGATTATAATCCTGATGAGCAGAGGATGTTTGGAAATGAACTTTCTCACTTAAAAACCTGTTCAAACAATTTTTCCAGCTTGTCTCCATCCAGGTTTAGAGAGATAGTTGGAGTCATCTGCGTGATGCCTTTAATATTTTATCATAATGTTGTGCAATATAGAAGTGATCTGTTAGTGATCTAGTTCAGCTGCAGAGGTAAAGGACAGTGCAAATGAGACTCAGTTGCATTTGATTGTCAATCAGCAGCCTTTATCTGACCAAGGTCCAGGTTAAGACAGGACAAAAGACTGAGAGGGACTTATCCTGAAAGTGATCTAAAATAAGTGGTTTAACCATGACGCTTGTGCTGCTCGCCTTGTTTCTGTAAGTATAAAATGACAACAAGGGTGAGTAATTAAAGTATAGAAAGAAATGCATTCAGTTTCAAGGTTTTATCTTCCAACTTAAATAAAACATTAACCTACTGTATATATAAAGTACACGTGAAACCTGTAAAAGTGTTTTGGCTCCTCCCACTGTCAGTCACAGTCAGTCAGCTGTAGACGTTTCTCACCTTTGGCTCTAATATAAAAGCATGGCAGCAGATCTAATCATGTTTCTATTGACTCTTCTGGCTTCCATGCTCCATTTTAGAAACTGCTAAAAGCACAATTAGATCATTTTCACTCTAAAATGATTGTTTATGTTCCCAAAGTAGCTGAGCTCTGATTATATTGACCTAATGTTGGATTTACAGTAAAATGAAATCAGTCAAGGAGAAGTGAAGGAAAAGTTTTTTTTCTACAATATCGTTTCCAGTGGTGGTGAGATATCTGCATGAGTTACTGGAGTATAATAGCTGTTAAAAAATAAGATGTTCACTGAAACCAATAATCCTCTATGCTCTTCTTAAAGTGACGTCACAGAGAACAGATCAGTTCTAATTTCTAATTATAACTAATAAGTGCTAGAGCATTCAGTCTTTATGGGAAATAAAAATCTGGAGCAGAAGAGAGGATGACTGAGATCTAATTGCAGCCACAGTCCCACAGTCCAGGACTGAGGAGACCAACCCCCCCATATGGATGGATGGATGATGGATGGATGGATGGATGAAAGGATGATGGATTGATGGATGGATGGATGGATGGATGGATGGATGAAGGGATGATGGATTGATGGATGGATAGATGGATGATGGATGGATGGATTGATGGAGGGATGGATGGATGTATGGATGAAAGGATGATGGATGGATGGATGGATCATAGATGGATGATGGTTTGATGGATGGATGGATGGATGGATGAAAGGATGATGGAGGGATGGATGGATGGATCAATGGATGATGGTTTGATGGATGGAAGGATGGTTGATGGTTTGATGGATGGAGGGATGGATGGATGGATGAGTGATGGACGGATGATGGAGGGATGGATGGATGAAAGCATGATGGATGGATCATGGATGGATGATGGTTTGATGGATGGATGGATGATGGAGGGATGGATGGATGGATGGATGGATGAAAGGATGATGGATGGATCATGGATGGATGATGGTTTGATGGATGGGTGGATGATGGATGGGATGGATGGATGGATGGATGGTTTGATGGATGGATGGATGGATGATGGATGGGATGGATGGATAGATGGATGAAAGGATGATGGATGGATGGATGATAGAGGGATGGATGGATGGGTGGATGATGGATGGATGATGGATGGATGGATGATGGAGGGATGGATGGATGATGGATGGGATGGATGGATGGATGATGGTTTGATGGATGGATGGATGGATGGAGGGATGGATGGATGATGGATGGGAATGGATGGATGGATGGATGATGGNTGGATGGATGGATGATGGATGGGAATGGATGGATGGATGGATGATGGTTCAATGGATGGATGGATGGATGATGGTTGGATGGATGATGGATGGGAATGGATGGATGATGGTTGGATGGATGGATGGAGGGGAATGGATGGATGGATGGATGATGGTTGTATGGATGGATGGAGGGGAATGGATGGATGGATGGATAATGGTTGGATGGATCATGGATGGATGGATGATGGTTGGATGGATGGACGGATGATGGATGGAAGATGGATGGATGGATGATGGATGGACGGATGGATGGATGATGGATGGACGGATGATGGATGGATGGATGATGGTTGGAAGATGATGGATGGATGATGGATGGATGGATGGATGATGGAGGGATGGATGGATGGATGATGGAGGGATGTATGGATGGATGATGGATGGATGGATGAATGATGGAGGGATGGATGGATGGATGATGGTTGGGATGGATGGATGAAAGGATGATGGAGGGATGGATGGATGATGGATAATGGATGGGGATGGATGGATGGATAATTGATGGTTGGATGGATGGATGATGGATGGGAATGGATGGATGGATGGATGATTGTTGGGATGGATGGATGAAAGGATGATGGAGGGATGGATGGATGATGGATAATGGATGGGGATGGATGGATGGATGGATGATGGTTGGATGGATGGATGGATGATGGTTGGATGGATCAGGGATGGATGGATGGATGGATGGATGGACGGATGATGGTTGGATGGATGGATGGATGGGAATGGATGGATGGATGGATGATGGTTGGATGGATGGAAGATGGATGGATGGATGATGGATGGATGGATGATGGTTAGATGGATGATCGTTGGATGGATGATGGTTGGATGGATGGAAGATGGATGGATGGATGGATGATGGATGGATGATGGTTGGATGGATGATGGATGGATGATGGTTGGATGGATGATGGATGGATGATGGTTGGATGGATGATGGTTGGATGGATGGATGGATGGATGGAAGATGGATGGATGATGGTTGGATGGATGATGGTTGGATGATGGATGGATGATGGTTAGATGGATGATGGTTGGATGGATGGATGATGGTTGAATGGATGATGGTTGGATGGATGATGGTTGGATGGTTGGATGGATGGACGGATGATGGTTGGATGGATGGATGATGGTTGGATGGATGGATGGATGGATGGATGGATGGATGGGAATGGATGGATGGATTGATGGTTGGATGGATGGAAGATGGATGGATGGATGGATAGATGGATGGAAGATGGATGGATGGATGATGGATGAAAGATGGATGGATGATGGATGGATGGATGGATGGATGGATGGATGATTGATGGTTGGATGGAAGATGGATGGATGTATGATGGTTGAATGATGGTTGGAAGATGGTTGGATGGATGGATGAGGGATGGATGGATGGACGGATGGATGAGAGAACAGTGCATACTCTGTGTGATCCAGCGCTGTCCCTTTAAGGGTCTCCTGCTGCGCCTCCTGTTGCTGCTGCTGATGAGGAGGAGGAGCAGCAGACACCAGCAGCAGGTCTCTCCCAGTCGGAGCTCAGAGGAGGCGCCGTCACCATGAGCTCAGCATCTGAACCTGTGGCTCCCAGCAGCAGGTCCCTGTCTGCTGCCAGGAGACATCGGAGCGTCCGGAAGAACTCCAGGAGGCTTTACTCTGCTTACCAGCAGGGGTGAGTGGATCTACTGGGCTGAAGGTCTGAGCAGGCAGAGAGAGGAGAGAAGCTGTTCTGGGTCCCATCATCTGCTTTAAGGTCTGTGAACCCGTCAGGGTCATCTCCTCAGGCTTCTTTCTTTTGCATGTCCTGCAGCTCCTCAGAGGAAGAGGCTGATAAGGAGGTGGACAGCAACGACCCAGAAGAAATGTTCCAGAACATTCAGTACCAGAAAGAGATCATCGCAAACATCCGCTCCAGGCCCTGGCCAATGAGACGGAAGCTCAAAGTTCTGAAGTATACTTCCTCATGTTTTTTCTTCCTTCCAGCGTTCGGATCAGAACCAGCAGCTCCAGCTGTTCCTATCAGAAAAACGCTGAAAAAGCTTTAAGCTGAATGAGAAAAATTGGTTCTGGTTTGAACCCATTCTGAGGAACAGGCTGATGAAGCCAGCAGGCTTTGGCTGGATCATCTACTGGGTCTAGATCTAGGTGCTTCCTTCATCCAAACATTAAAGCTGCTGAGGTGTGTGGAGCAGCAGGAGTGCTGGAACAGGCGGAAAGCTGCTGAGGTGTGTGGAGCAGCAGGAGTGCTGGAACAGGCGGGATGTGCTGAGTGTGCCGTGGCTAACAGCTTTTATATGGGCAGTCAGTTTTTACTGCAGAGCTTTTATTACCTTCATCAGGGAGACGCTGCGCTTTTCCAGCCTGGCTGCCTGTCTGTGATTACTGCAGCCGCAGCCGGGCTGTCACGCCTCCAACTATCCATCTTCATCCTTAGATTAACCAGGAATCAACCAAACAGGAACCGCTGGGGCCAGATGTTTCAGGCTAGAAATGTGTCAAATTCTTGCCCCTAAATGAGAGGAATGAAGGATTTGATACTGAGCAGCATCATTTCACTCTTTCAGCATTCCTGCTCATCCCACCTTTAGCAGCACAAATATCCCCCCCCCCCGCCCGGCAGAGACCCAGTCCATCAGAGACCCGGTCCGACAGATACCTGGTCAGACAGAGACCCAGTCCGATAGACACGGTTCGAGAGAGATCCAGTCCAACAGAGACCTGGTGAGACAGAGAACTGGTCTGACAGAGACCCGGTCCAATTGACAGGGATCCTCCGTCTTCAGGACTAAGCTCCATTAATCCAGCAATTAAATGGCCTGCTGAGCTAAATGGACCTGTTGCTCTGGAAGGGTTTTGCTGCGATCTGATTGGTTGATTGAGACGGAAGCAAATCTGTCACAATATATTGATTTTGTTTCATCTCAGGGGATCTGCTCAGTTATAGTTTCTCCTGAATCAGATGTCATCTTAGAGTAGGTCCACATGTACTGGCCCAGTGGACCCCAGTATGTTTGACAGCCAGACTTTAGTCAAATGCTTCTGCTGCTCAGCTGCCCCACAGACAGCAAGTAACCAATCTGTCTTTTCTAGGCAAGCCCGAGAGATTGTCCTGAAGTACGAAGGCCAGCTGACAAGAACCAGAGGCTATCAGACGGCTGGAGCTGATGTATGTCCACCTTCATTTGGCTTTTCTTTAGCAGCTGAGGCTGACCAGGATCTTAAAAGAGAACAACAAGGAAGAGACTTTATTATAATCTCAAGGTTGATGTTTATTGGCTTCAAAGACATCAGCCCTGCCCGCGAACCAGGTCTGATTGAAGCCATTATTCCCCCTGAACCAGAGTCAGGAGAAACTTCCCTCCTTTTGGCAGCACATTATGTCGCAGTATAACGCAGCACGTTACGTCGCAGTCTTCAGACATGCTGAAGATGTTGCCTTGTAGTGTGGATGAATGGATAGATCGGCCCACCTGTCCCACCGCATCCTAAAATGATGCTTGATGATTAGTCCGCTGGTTGCCGTGGTCCTCTCAACATCAGAACGTTTCTTAAATTACGCAATAAATCAGTAAATGGGCCCTATACTGAAGCTTAAAGTATAATGCCCTCGCCTCAAATTATCTTCAATTTTACTTTTATTGAACAACAGCCACAGAAAAGAGAACTTTTATCTGAGCTCTGTGAGCACTAACCTGGAAGCTGTTGCTGCTGCAGTGCATGCTGGGACAGCTGTCAGTCTGGAGAACGGATAAGTCTGCTCTGATGCATGCTGGGT